GCCGCGGGCGGCGCCCCGGCACCCCGCCTCACCCGCGGCGAGCTGCGCGGCCTCGTGGCGTCGCTCGCGCGCCGCCTCGCCGCGGCCGGCGTGCAGCCTGGCGACGTGGTGTCCATCTCCATGGAGAACACGGTGGAGTTCATAATCGCGTTCCTAGCGGTCACCCAGGCGCGCGCGGTCGCGGCGCCCCTCAACGCCGGATACAAGAAGGTGGGCGGCCGCGGGCAGGGGGCCGGACGCCACAAGGGTGGCAACCGCTTCACCACCTGAGGCGCTCAGGGTTTTGCGTGCCGATACCCTTCCATTGCCTGCCTCCCATAGCCTTGCTGGGCTGCAGGGCGACCCGCCCCCCCGCTGGGTCCTGAGCAGTTATGCGGTCGCCTGGCAAGGGGTCGTGGAAGGAAGCTCCCTCGCTGCCGGCCCGCCGCGCCGCCGTCCCCGCAGCCGCCAGCACTGTGTCTTCCACAGCAGTCATTGCAACGCAGCCGGGGCCAGGGTAGCCGCCACACCCAGCTCCCCTTCACCCCTTGTTCTTCACACCTAACCAAACAACAAAACACCAACAATCAACCAGGCAACTACCCACTTGTCCCGGCCCAAAGCAATACTCGTGCCATCAACGCCCTCCCCCTTACTTCCTGGTGTCACCTGCTGGGTTGACCGCGCCAACCCACCCGCCGCACACAAACCCCCCACCCCTGCGAACCACCTGCACCCCCCCCACAGGATGAGTTCACGTGGTACCTGGAAGACGCGCAGTCAAAGCTGCTCATCCTGCCCCCCGCCGGCAACGCCAACGCCGAGGGCGCCGCCGCGACCCTCTCCATCCCTGTCGCCACCGTGCAGCTGGCCGACGGCGCGCTGGCCGTCAATGACAGGTGGGCGGGTTTCTGTGCGTGCCAGAATTATTAGGTACAGTGTTGGCGGAACGTCGCATCGATGGATCCCAAGGGCGTGGCGCTTTGCTGAGATATAGGCCGCCCGCGGCCCAGGCGGCGCGCATGGGTGCATCAGGCACGTTATCGGGCGGCTAATGCCGTGCACCCCTGCGAGCAGCGCGGCTGTGGGCCGTCCCCAGCGGTCACGCACCCAGGGGGCTCAACCACCCATACCCCTCGCAACAAGTGTCGAGTGACATCACGCCCTACCTGTCCCTCCCCAGGTCCCCGGCAGGCGACGACAACAGCAGCGCCCTGCGCCTCACCTCCCCCGCCGCCTCTGCCGCCGCCGCCGCCGCGGACGCGGCGCCGCCTTCCCCCCAGCCGTCTGATGTGGCGCTGTTCCTCCACACCAGCGGCACCACCAGCAAGCCCAAGGGCGTCCCCCTCACCCACGCCAACATCGCGGCCTCCCTCGCCAACATCGCGGCCACCTACGAGCTGACGTCACATGACGTCAGCTACATGGTCATGCCGCTCTTCCACGTGCACGGCCTGATGGCCGGCACGTTTGCGCCCCTGGCGGCGGGCGGCGCTGTGGTGCTGCCTGTCGCGGGGCGTTTCAGCGCGTCGGTGTTCTGGCGCGACTGCGTTGAGCACGGTGCCACCTTCTACACTGCAGTCCCCACCATGCACCAGGTGGGTCTGGGCACTGCCGTTATTGGATGCGCCAAGGGAGGGCGCAGGGGAAAAGGGGAAAGCAGGGGGCTTCTCGCAGGTCGCCCGGCAAGAGCGCGCCAGTATCCTGTTGGCAGGAGGGATGCTGCATGACCGGGGGCAAGGGTTGCAGCAGTGCCACGCCCCACATGCAATTGGCCACAGCCCCATCCACGAGGAGACGCCCCTCCTGCGCCATCCCTGCTGACAGCGGCTCCTGTGCCGTCCTGTTTCGTGTCCTGCCCTTCTCAACCTTGTCGCATCACCCGGACC